AATAGTTACAATATTGAAAATGCTAACATTGATAAGCACTTCTTCTAATGCTCAATTAATCAAAATTTACTGAGCACCTACCAAGGGCAAATAATGGAATAAAGACCTTGACATCAAGTCAACAACATCTAATAATAAATACTTAATATTAATCTGCAAAATAAAACAGTGACTCAATATGAGTCTTACAAATTATAAAATCTGGCAGCATGTAAACTGGACAATCCTTGGAAGAATAGCTCTGCCAACAAAGAACATAAAAATGTGTACATTATTTTATGTGATGCATTAATCCTTCTTTTAGAAATTCAGCCCAAAGGGATAATCAGAAAGACATTACCTGTACAAAGATATTAGTGGCATTTTAGTTAAATAACCAATATCCCTGAAAATAACCCAAAGAATCAATAAATGAAAATTGTTCATTTTAATATATCAAGTCAGTGAATTTATTATATTTCCATTAAATTTATACATACATTATGAATGACTGTGTAGAAACAGAGAAAAGTGTGCCTAAAAGGATAAATGTGGGGAAAAAAACAGAGTAAAAAGTATTCTCTTGGCCCCTGCCAGTGTGGCTCAGTTGGCTGGAGCATCGTCCTGCACACCAAAAGGTGGCAGGTTCGATTCCCAGTCAGGGCACATACCTAGGTTGTGGGTCCGGGCACCTATGGAAGGCAACTGATTGATGTCTCTCTCTCTCTTTCTCACTCTACCCCCCTAAAAATCAATAAACTTTTTTAGAAGTTAAAAACATTTTGTAAGGATTCTCTCAATATATTATTCTATTTGAATAGTATTCGATCTTTAGGACCTGATTATAGCTATACAGTTAACACAAGGTTTGGAAAGAATATACGAACGCAGTGAGTGGGAGGATAACTGGTGTGAAGACACCTGAGAACGGAAGCATGGCTGTTCTACAAATGAGCTTCAGTGTGATGCCCACAGGAGCCAAGAATGATGGGTCCTAACCGCCATGTGATGGACACCTGATCACAGCAAAGTCTGTGTCTGCGAGACCAAGGTCATCAAAAAGCAAAGGATAGAGGATGAGGGGTCACTCACCATGATGGCTGCCCCCCAAATGTACTGGTATTTGACAACCAAGCACACCAGCAAAACAGGCGCGTCCCTTGGGGATCTGCCGCAAGGAGGCATGAGGGAAATGCCCGGGTTTTTGCCACTGCCCTCCTGAATGGGGGGGGGGGGGGGGGCTGGGTGCTCTGTGGGGCTAGGGTCTCATTTATGAGCGCTGATCCTATTCAGAGGGCCTCCACCCTCATGACCTAATCACCTCCCAAATGACACACAGGCCTCCTGTCACCATCCCCTTTAGGGATTACAATTTCAATGTCTTTGTTGGGGTGGGGCACATTCAGACCACAGCACCACAAAAGTGACGGCACTGGGAAGCCAACATACAGGCTACGAGGAAAGAAAAGTGGAACAGAAATGAGCAAGTCCAGGAGAGTAGACAAGGTAACACCATCTGATTTGGGACAACACTGCGCAGGGTCCCACATGTGGGAACATCCCACCCCAGACCTAAAAGTCAAATACACATACATTTTACACCCTCTGTCTGCCTCAATGCTCCCAACATACAGAATTCAGTGACACGAAACACACCACAGGGTAAACACTTCTTTTGTCTTTAAAACTATTAGCAGTTTAAGAAAATGTTTACAGTGAGCATGACAACTTTTGAGAAGAGTCCAGTAGGAATCTTCTTTGTATAAATTCAACCTAGATATGTAACAATTCAATATAAACAAGCTTTGTAATTTAATGCACTGCATTTTATTTAAAAAAATTTTTTTTGCCTTTATTGATTTTAGAGAGAGAGAAAGGGAGAGAGAGGAAGTGAGAGGGAGAGAGAGATAAACATTGATGAGAGAACATCGACTGGCCACCTCCTGCATGTCCCCCACTGGGAACTGGGCCCACAACCTGGGCATGTGCCCTGATCGGGAATCGAACCGGCGACCTATTAGTGCATGGGTCGACACTCAACTACTGAGCCACACCAGTGGGACTAATGCACTGCATTTTAAAATGTCTTGTTCTACACTTGGTTTCTTCTATATTAACATAAAGCATCCTCATTCTCACTATGCCTCAGAATCCAGTTTTCCTAAAATTTCCCTATTATAAAACACCATAAACAATGGGTCTTCTTCATCCAAAAGAAATCTGCAACAAAGTCTAAGAAGACTTACACAAAATGAAGTTAAATTGAAATAAGAAACCATGCCAGGAGCAAAAATCTCAAGACTTTCAGGGCAAATCTATCCAAATTCATAATTCATCAACACTATATAGTACTCTGAATACACTTTTTAACATTCTGCAATCAGCAACTGCTGTTCAAATAAACTCGGGTTCACACACTAATGTCTGGTTCACGCATCAACTTGCTTCTCACACACTTGGACTTGCTTCCCGCCGAGCTGTAATATTTCTTACAAGCTTCACCAGTCTGTTTCTCAAAACACAGAGTGGATTTCTCAGTACCAAGGATTTTTGACATTCCTCCGCTAAATGAGGTAGGAGGCATTTGCACTCCAATGGCAGTTGCAAAATCCAACAGTCATTCCCAAAGGCCAGAACCGCTTCCCATCCCAGTACACACACACACACACACACACACACACACACACACACACACAGCCGATTCTGCCTGCAGGGCCTGAAGATCTCTCTTATCTCCTTCTGCAAGTGTTTCTGCCTTTGCTATGAAATCTCAAAACCTCACGTGAGGAAACAGAACTAAGGATACTTGTGGGAATGTCTAGATGCCACGATTTCTAAGCAGCAGCCAAAGAGCAATGTGGCAGCCGACAATGTGACACTTTGTAAAGTAAACCGAGTGAGAGGATACAGTTGGTAATAAAAAGTTTTCATTTACAGTTTGAGGGGGAAAACTGTAGGAAAGACTGGTACAGTATTTTCTGCTATATAAACCAAACAGCAATAGGTGAATCTGAAAACCATGGAATTAGAGACATCCCATGTTAGGCAAGAGGACAATAAATAAATCCCCTCTCCTAAGACTTGAAAATATGCAATAAAATTCAGCAGTCGGAGTAAGTTCAGCCACTCACCCAGGTGGATAGTAGTAATTACCATGATTTGATTCAGATAAAAGTTAAAACCTCAAACCAAGTCGGTGTTGTGTTTTTACTTTTTTCACTGTTTTATTTTAAAGGCAGGATAAAGATGTACTTAGGAAACAGCCTACTGAGAAAAATATGGATCTGAGAAAACAGGATAAAAATGAGTAATTTTACAATGACTTTGAGAAACAACAAAAGAAAATTATAGGTGGCCCTTGTTTTATTCACTAATAGATGAATAACAATAGAATTTGTTCTAACTTTTTATTTTAAAATACCATCATTACTATAATTACAAAAATGAAGCTGTAAACAATGCTGAAACTAACAAAATGAAAGCTGCGAACCCAGCAGCAGGACAGGAGGAAGGCTGCATACTTAAATATTGATGATGGTGCTATAAACTGATAGTCTTTGGAGGGAGCAATCTGGCCATATGTAATTAGATCCACCAACAACTCATGCCCTTTGACCCAGAAAGCCAACTTTGGAAACCATTATCCCCAGAAATACTCTCCAAGTAAATACATGTAATTTGTTCAACAACATTTAGAGCAATGCTATTTATAAGTGTTAAAATTAGAAACAAACCAAATACCAAGCCATAGGGGAATAGTTAAGTCAATGATAGTATAAAAGATGGGATTATCCCAGCCCTTTATTCCCTTCCTGTCATACATCCCATCCGAGTCCGTGACTGGCCTGGAAATCCTGTGGGGTGAGTGCAGGTCCCCAACTCTGATTTGGGGCGTGGCCAGGTGATGCACCTTGGCCAATGAGATGTGAGCAGACTGCATGTTTGCCGTCTCCAAGAAGCAGCCTTAAATGAGAATGCAGCCCTGACTGGTTGGCTCAGCAGTTAGAGCATCGGCCTGCACACCAAAGGGTCTCGGGTTCAACTCCCAGTCAAAGGCACATACCTGGGCTGCAGGTTTGATCCCCAGCCCCTGTTGGGGTTGTGTGGGAGACAACCAACTGAGGTGTCTCTCTCACATTCATGTTTCTCTCCCCCCTCTTCCACTGCATCTAAAACTTAATGGGAAAATATCCTCAGGTGACGATTAACATAAAATAAATAAAAATTAAAAAATAGAATCAAATAAATAAGACTGTATGTTTCTCACTATATCCTGCCCTCAGCCACCAGAACATCAAGACCCAGGTAGGGGCTGCCCTTCAGCCTAGGTTCCCAAATAAGAAGACATGTGGAGCTAAACAGAGTCCAGTCGAGCCACCAAGAGCCACAACACATCCACAGAAGTCCCACAACACACACAAAGAGTAACTGTTCGTTATTGTAAGTGGTTCTCAACCTGGGGGTCGAATGACCTTTTCACAGAGGACGCCTAAGACCATTGGAAAACACATATTTCCAATGGCGACTCATAACAGTAGCAAAATTACAGTTATGAAGTAGCAACGATAATAATTTTATGGTTGGGGGGTCACCACAACATAAGGAATTGTATTAAAGGGTCACGGCATTAGGAAAGTTGATAACCACTGCACTAAGATGTTGGAAACCTTTTTGTTATCAAAGCAAAGACTAACACAATCATCATCAAAATGCAACAAGTTAGCTGATGAAGAAAACATACTGTGACCAAGCAGAATACTGTGCAGACACCAATGACATCTCTATAAAATGAGGCAAACAAACAAGCACCAGAAATTAACTTAGAACGATGTGATAGTTTCTAATTATTTCTTTTTGTCAATGAATTACTCAGATGTATCTTTCATTCCAACTTAAATGCTACCTTTTTAAAAATGTATTTTTCAATAATTCTATACATATCATATTCATAATAGAAATAATTCTATCTAACACATTTTTTTTTTCTGCTCCAAATGATGTAAGGGTTAACCAACACTTACGCCAAAAGTGAATCGCGTGTGTCAGTATTCGGCCTCTGAATGTATGAATTTAGGGCTCATTAATTCTTCTGGCAAACCACACTGGGAGGAACTGTAAAAGAAACAAAAAACAAAAGCCAGAGTGATTTGCTGGGATAATCGAGTTCCTAGTCATCAAAGCAAGATCTGACAGAATATCGGCTATCTGAAAATAAAGTTGTGTTACCTTTGAATTTAACTTTATGACCTGTGCTTAAAATTCCATTGTGTTTGTATTATTCAAGAATCATAAAAATATTCATCATAACAAGCAACCTCACTCATGGAAACTTATCCTAAAATAAAATCAACAACTAGTAATGTGAAGATTCTCATTATCATCTTCCATGGGATAGCAAGAAATGCAAAGGTATGTGTTTTTAATAATAAAAAAATAACAAAGATTTATACAATATCAATTATATGCAGATATATGAAAATATTAATTATAAGGACATTAAGTATGAAAAGCATGCATATATGTGAAGTATATAAAACCACAATTACGAAAATGTGTCTACAGAAGAACAAAGGCTAAAAAATATGAAAAAAATGTTTAAATAGCTAGATTCAATTTGTGGATAGACTTTTACCAATTTTTTTAAAGTATTGTTGAGTATATTGAGAGAGAAGGGTCTGATGCTTTAACAAAATCTGATCTTGCTATAAATACATCAAGATCTCTGTTAAAAATCAACCAGAAGTGTGCTTACGGTCTCTTGAAAATCAATGTGTGGTAAATATCTGCCTAATTTAGGCAACCTTGAATTACTAAATGAAGTATATCAAGCATAATTTCATTGTTGGTTTTTTTTCTCTTCTCATATACAATCAATGTTTTTTTAAATTAAACTTATTGGTCAATAATTATGTAAGTTTCAAGTGTACAATTCTGTAATACATCATCTGTGGAACTGCAATTTCATCATTTTTTGATAACTTGAGATCATTCTCAGGAACATCAGTTACTGTACTATATTCCCTAATTCAAAGGTAATACCAGCCAGTGCTAGAGAGAAGCATGCACACCCTATTCAGACAATGAATGAATAAAAACTGCTGCTGATCGGTTCCAGGTAGTGTTTTCTCTTTCACCTTTGAGAGGCAGTGATGCAGTGGTTCCAAGCACAGGCTCTGAATCCACACCCAGATCTGAGTCTCAGCTCCATCACTGACTAGTATTTGCATGCCAATGGTGTTACATAGTAAACCAGTATTTACTAGTCCTAAGATGTTGTCTGCCTCAGCCTCCCTAAGCCCTCATTTTCTCATCCATAAAGTAAGCCTTGAAGAGTGCTTACTTCACAGGGTTGTTGCAAGGATCAAAAAGATAATCCACTTAAAGTGCTTGACAAAGTACTTGCACACGGTAAGTGGTAACTACATGCCCACTAATAATATTAGTCTCTGTCTGCTGGTCACCTAAGGTGTCATCAAGCTTGCTGCTTACCATCACCAATAACAATTTCTAATTTCTCTCTCTACCCCTGTTCCCCAGTCCTACGAGGCATCACACACGAACGAGAGCTCCCAGGAATGGTCTGAAAACCATCTACAACAGTGCTATCCAAAAAATATATAATGCGGTTCACAAACGCAAGCCACATCGGTAATTCTAAATTTTCCAAGAACCACACTGAAAAATCAAAACAGAATCAGAAAAGTTAATTTTAATAACAGACTTTGTTTAACTTAATATATCCAAAACATTATCTCAACATATAATCAATTTAAACAGTTACAATGAGGTATGTTACCTTCTTTTTTTGTACTAAGTCTGCAAAGTCTGGCGTGTGTTTAATACAGCATGTCTCAACTCGAACTAGTCACATTTCAAATACTGAATGGTCACATGGGACCAGCAGGTATATTATTAGTTTATTCTTCAAAAGATTTTGACCACGGAACCTCAACTGATGGTTGCATAAAAGAAAAGATAAAATTAAAAGAAGCTTGCACAGCCCTGACCGGTTTGGCTCAGCGGTTAGAGCGTCGGCCCATGGACCGGAGAGTCCCAGGTTCGGTTCCCATTAAGGGCACGTACCTCGGTTGCAGTTTGTCCTGGGCCTCGGTTGGGGTTTTGTAGGTGGCAACCACTCGATGTGTGTCTCTCACATCGATGTTTCTCTCTCTCTCTTCCCCACTCTCTCCCTCCTGCTCTATCTGAAGATAAATGCAAAAATATCCTCGGGTGAAGATAAAAAAATTTTTTTTAAAAAGAAGCTTGCATAGACTTCTGGGCTGAGTGTCACGGTTAAGAACTTGAGCTGTGCCTGGCTAGTGTGGCTCAGAGGTTGAGTGTCGACCCATGTACCAAGAAGTCGCCAGTTCAATTCCCAGTCAGGACACATGCCCAGGTTGTGGGCCAGATCCCCAGTGGGGGGTATGCAGGAGGCGGCCAATCGATGTTTCCATTTCTCTCTCTCCCTTCCTCTCTCTAAAATCAATAAAGAAAAAAATATTTCTTTTTTAAAAGAACTTGAGCTGTGGGGTCAGAGAGAACGGGTTCAAATCCCTCTTCTTCCATTACTACCTGGGAGACTTCAACAAATAACCACTTTTAACATTTATATTTCTCAAGGATACGCAAGAGATAAAAATAACATCTCTTTCAAAAGGCTGCTATGAGTGCAAAGGCTGTTGAGGTTCCCAGACACGGAGCTCTGCTCTGTCAAAGGTCAGAAATGGGAGTGGGAAAAATTGATGAAGGAAATACTGAGCAAATTAGCTTCGGAAAATAAAGAGGCTGGAGAAAAACTGTTCGTGTTGCAGCCACAATGCCTTTGTTAAATGCCCAGTTACACAAAACAATGTACACAGTGGCAGCTATTTAAAAAATAATTGCAATGGCATTTCTAAAGCCCTCCGTGATTTATACCTCCCTGCCCTGCATGCTTCCTTCTTGGCAGTATTATCGGCAAGGGGGGAGGAGGGCTGATGGCCAGAATTTGGAGAAGCAAGGTTTTCCAGTCGTGTAGATATGAACCATGCCCTCCGGCCTCAATCAAACAGGCTACTGAATATATCTGGGTCTGTAGTACCTCAAACTTAATCTGTACGTTATTCTTCACTGTACTACAAATACATGAAGTTAGACTAAGGGTTTCCTGTCCCCAAAATATTCCCTGAAAATTGGTTTTGTGAATAAATTCCTGATATTTTAAACTTGCTCTTGTTCTGTGTTACGCCCCGTCCCCCAAAAAACTCCAATAAATTTTTTTTTTTAAGTTAGTCTGGTAATGAAGACTCGAAATGTTTAAAGTCTCTAATACAGGAATCTTCTAAACTGAGCTTTTTCTAGAAAGTATTCTATATACTTCTAGTGTCCCTTGAGGTTATATGTGTTTCATAAAATCAAATAAAAAGAACAATAAGTCCTTACAGTAGTGAATTCGGTTTTGACAGGCTATGGTTCGCTGCAAGCTTCCTTGGAATCTTTAATACGCTCACATACACAGACTGGAAACTGCTATGCTCAGTAGTGTTGTAAGTCTACGAAGGAGAAAAGTAACAACGCAAGTTGAAAATCAAATGCCAACGAGACAGCCCTAATTATCCCATTGAAACAGACACCTCTGCACCGAGTGCCTGGCCTGGGGTACTGTGCTCTGCGCCTTTCTCCTTTTATCCCCGATTGTGAATCCACATACAGTGATCCCCTATCGGAATCCTCCAAACGGAGAGACGTTATTAGAAAGGGAGGGAAGAAGGGAGGAGAAAGGACTGCAGGAGGGAAGAGAGAAGGAGGGAGGAAATTTCTTTACCTAACTTAGTAAGTGTAACCATCACTCCATATTCACAGGGAAAGCTAAAATACCTAACCACCATAACCAATGGATACAGACAACAACACTACCGTGAAGGTGGGGGGAGGGGCAGGGAGGAGGGTGTCAAAGGGGGAAAAAGGAGGGACATCTGTAATAAAAAATAATAATAAATTCATAGGAAGGAGCACGGTTCAGACTGACAAACTTCCGAGGAGGAGGGCTGAGGGGGAGTGATGAGATCAACCAAAGAACTTATATGCACGTATATGTAACCAATGGACACAGACAACAATGCTTGGGGGGGATAGGGAGGAAGGTGTTTGGGAGGGGGTAGGAGAAACATCTGTAACAAAAATAATAGAGGGAAAAAAAAGAGAGAAAAATAATAATAATAAAGTATTAAATAAATAAAAGACCTAAACACATTCATAAGGATGAAGGGACATGGAATACACTCTTGTATCTAACCTGGCACTTGGAAACTAAGCCTCGTTTTGAAAACAAGCAAAGCAGCTGCTCCGCAGAAGCACAGCACAAATCATCCTTTCCAGCCTTTATTTTTAGATGCCTCTTAAGTAAACAATAATTTCTAAAGACTATAATTAAGACTGGTAGGTGTCATTTCATTATTTTGGAGTTTTAATTCTTTTCGCATCAGTCCCACTTTTTGCCCCCTCGTAAATCTCATAATTACGTAATATTCTATAACACATTCTTACTTTTGAATAAAAGAATTGATGTGCTCTTTTGAACATGTACAGATTGTTAAACGGCACAATCACCCAGAATGTCAGTTAGTAGAACCCACAGATTTAAACACAGGGACTCTAAAAGTCAGCCCCCTTTTTCAAATGCTAATTTGGAGACTTGGGTATGCCTAAAAAACATGTGCCTTCATCATCTACAGCACATTTTACAAAATGCATAATGAAAAAGAATACACGTAATATACAGATCATCGGATTTCACTGGCAGAAGCGAACGCTAATTGCCTGCTGGAGTCTTTAATGAAACCTAATTGCTGGCTTGAGCTGTCACCACTGACCCTGGTAACAGACTAGTACACTCTTCATAAGCCTAATACAGCAGCATCCTCCTTCATTACGGTTATTACAGCTCTGTAGTGGGACACACCTGCCACAAACTCGGCAGCCTCTCAGCTAAATGGATGTGTTGCTTCTCTACCCCAGAGTGAGCAGTGTTGACGGCAGAAGTCACCCTTATGACAAGTGGCACCGCTTCACAGCCCAGATCTACTTCCACACCTGGAATCACACACACCTCGGACAGCACTCCAGAAATCGTC